CCCCAAAACCCCAAAACCCCAAAACCCCTTGCTTGAGAATTGTAAAGTGAAAGAGAATATGAAGAATATTATAAGTAACTATTTGAAATCTGTTTGTAAAATTTATAAATATTAATGAAAGGAGAACAATCAAAATAAAGTAAATATGAGAATATTTGGAAAGCGTAGCAGCTCGCATTAGGATTCTTAGTGCTTTTCATAGCCTAGTCATCAGCTTTGAATCTTTAATCAAAAGTCATGAACTAAAATGGATTTGGACCTCTCGGAAATTACAATCTAGCAGTGCTTTCAATTTTCTGTGTCCTGGGAGGATTCCTCTCTACGACTATGATTAAGAGACTGGGCATCAATATTACCTTGGTGATAGGCACAATTGGGATTGCTTAGTGGATACTCTGCTCTGTGCTTCCAGCTTTGAAAAATAATGAGCCAGACAAGCATAAAAGGGATACCTATGTAATATACTCTGATGCATTCATTTATAGTATAATGATAATTTCTTCTTGCATCTGCGGGATGGCTACAGGATTTGTGTGGACAGCCCAAGGAGTATACACCGCTGAGTGCGCTACAGTAGAATCTAAAGGGTTTTACTTCAGTTGCTTTTGGACTACCTACACCTTTTCACAAGTTGTGGGTAATCTAATTGCAGCATTTGTCTTGGGATCGATGGATTAATCTAACTATTTCTACATAATGGCTGGAATAGCTGTCTCAGCATGTCTAATATTTGGAACTCTCCGCAAACCTAAGAAATTTGATAGCAATAAAAGTGACCATGCAGCTACTCTACTCTAATTTGATTCTTCTAATGATTCTAACATCTTAGAGGAATAATTGAAATTGCAACAAATGAAGAAGAATTAGCAAGAGCAGATCTAGAATCAAAGCATTTGGGAAAATATCAAATCTGTGTGGGCTTGCTTCATCTAGAAAAGAATGAGACTATTTCTGCCTGAGAACTTTTGGACTGGTGTGAGTATCTCTTACTACACAGGGATGCTTGTTCCTATAATGACTGCTTCGATTTCACTCACAGATGATGATTCTTAGTCACAGTTTAAAAAAGCTATGTTGGCTATGGTCGCTTTAGGTGTTGGAGAAATGATGGGAGGGTAAATAATCGGATTAGTAGTTGATAAAGTAAATTCAAAGGTAGCATGCATAGTAAACTTAGTCATAATGATTGTTATGTTTGCTTTCACGTTCGGTTTTCTTGTAGATTATAGATATACATGGCTGACTTTTGTCATGACATTCCTGTGGGGTTTGCAGGATAGTGCAGTAAATACACATGTATTTGAGATGCTAGGCTTTGAATTTGACAACAATGATGATGCTTTTGCTATTTATAGTCTGATATAGTCACTGGCTTCTTTTATATTCCAATTCTCCTAGTCTTTAGTTGATACTCATGAGAAATACTATATTTATACTGGAGTATTGGCTTTTATTGGAGTGATATGTATTGGAATAACCTATTTCTTTGATTTCAAGCATTTGTAAAAGCTCAAGTGATATCTGAAAAATAATAAATTTTGTTCTATTTTTACAATAGCGATTATCAATAAAGATTGTGCATGTTGGGGTTTTGGGGTTTTGGGG